TCTGAGTAATTTAAATGTTGTGTGTATTAAATTCAAATATCCAAATTCTGTTTCATCAACAGGTTGCTTGTGGGGGCGCCTCGTGCCAAAGCCCTCCCGCTGCAGAAGGCCAACAGGACAGGAGGCCTATACAGCTGTGACATCACCTCCCGGGGGCCTTGCACACGGATTGAATTTGATAATGATGGTGCGTTCTTCTGCCCTCACTAGGTTCCCTTGGCTAGCTCCCCTGTACCCTACTTGCCCTTTCCATGAGGAAGGAAAGGGGGTACAAGCATTTATTCTTGCAGAGAGTACCTCTTTTATTTATTTGTTTGTTTGTTTATTTATTTATTTATTTATTTATTTATTATTTTAAAAGATGACCTGTAAGGAGATCTCAGCCCTCGACTGGGTGTTGTCAGCACCATGCTCTCCCAAGTGAGCTAACCAGCCATCCCTATATAGGGATCCAAACCTGTGGCCTTAGTGTTATCAGCACCACACTCTCCCAAGTGAGCCACAGGCCAGCCCCTTATTTTTTTTATTATATATATATATATATATATATATGTTATGCATAATATATAGCAATGCAAACAATTATTGAGCCTCATCTTCTGGACAGGAATGTCAAGTTAGTCTCTCTTCATAAAAAGCAATTGAAATTTGATGACACTCCATATTTGCCTCTTTTGCCAGCACCAAGTCTGCCTCCTCTGAATCTAACCATTTCATGAGAAACATCAATTCTCCCCTGCTGTCTGTGGCACCAATTATTCTTTCTGGATCAAGGCCTCTGGCAAAGCCTCTTGGTTTGTTTGACAGCAGCAAAACTTTTCTTCTTTGATTTGCTATCATATTCACTGTCAGATAAAGCTTTTCTTTTTGTACCATCTTTTTCTTTACCAGCTTTTTTAGAATTAAGAAATGCCTTGATTAACTCTGGGCAATCTAAGTTTTCTTCAGGTTCCCAAGTATTGTCAGCATCTGTAAATCCCTTCCACTTTAGGAAATACTTCACTTTTCCGTTCACTGCACGTCAGTCCAGTACTTTTTCCACCACAAATTCTTCAGGCCTCTTCAACTTTTTTTACTTTTTCCATTCTGTTTCTTTCTCATTTTTTGCAATGTAGTTTTATTGGAGGCTGTTTTTTATTGGAGACTTGAAGAGCTGTTATTCACCACCTCTGAGCTACTTTGGGTCATGGGTCTCAAAGAAGACTCTTTTAATTGTATCAGTCTTGACTGGTTTTTATTTGCCCTGAAAATATTTACTTTCTAAATCACACTGGGATGCAGTGTTTTGCTGCTGCTCCTAACTCTGGCTTCTAAACTAATATGGTGTATCAATGTTGCCACCTAGTGATATATTAAGGTTCTACATGAGGCTGTTGAAACTGCATTCATGGCCATGAAGAAAATTGAATGTGGATTCAGCAGCCAAAAAAGTTCTCACTTGCTGTTAAAATATTTGGGAGAAAGACTATTTTTAAATATAAGACCTCTCTGAAATGAGAACTGAGAAACATGGGTAAAATTTGCCCTACTGTCTCAGAGACTTGTTTTGTGAAGATGCTGGGAATCTGGAGATGTAGGCAGTGTTAACATCCAGTTTGCATGGTTTCCTGTAGGTTCAGCAGAGCAATTAGTGTACTGAGAAGCTCCAGCCAAACCTATCCTGACGTGGGTGGTCTAAGTAGATCTGCAGATTCATGTTTATGGTCTTTTCTTGCTTCTTCATCTTTTAGAAATAACATGTGATTTCTTTACTGATTAGAAAATAATAGCCAAACCTAGCCTGACGTGGGTGGTCTAAGTAGATCTGCAGATTCATGTTTATGTTCTTTTCTTGCTTCTTCATCTTTTAGAAATAACATGTGATTTCTTTACTGATTAGAAAATAATACATGTTAATTGTAGGAAACTTATAAAACACAGAGACCTTTAGAGAAAAAAAAAAAAACCCACTGGTAATCTCAGTATCTAGACATACTCACTTTCTATTTAACACTGGTATTTTTTTCTTCTGTCTACTTAAAGGTATTTAGGTTTCATATTTATGTAATGATTCAAGATTAAAAATCATGCTTGTCTTCTCATTGAGGAAGGCAAAAATTTGGATATAGGGTCTTACAGTGGGTTTAAATTGATACTGAAATGAGTACATGGTGGTATTTGTGGTTTGTCTTTTTTGTTTCTAGCTAAAAATGAATATATCACTCCTTTTTGGCATTAATAAAAGATATAACTTTTTAGCTACAAGATCCTAAAGTAAATCTGAGGCCTTATCTTCCCATCTGCAGTAAGGGAAAGGTCGGTACATGCTTTACGTAACAAATTTGGGAGGACATAAAGCAGTACCCACTTTTTGTTTGGATGGTAATTGGACTTTGGAAAATAGATTTTACATTGTCGTTTTAAGGGCTACCCCTTAGTCTTACAGTTCTCAAATATGTTTCTGTATTCAGGACCCCGCGTTTCAAGAGAGGGCAAAGGGGATTGTTAGGCAAAATAGGCCACTATGGAGAGCTGTGTATTTTATGTATAGAATTTTATGAAAGATACTTAACAATAACTACTTCTCCATTTTATTCAGATGAGAAATATTTTTTCTGGATGAGTAACTGAATTTACTGTGTAGCTAGACTTGGAGTCAAGGCAATTTGGAAACAGTTTCTTGTATCTTTGTTCATCTGTTGGTTCATAGCCTGTGTGTGTAATGTAACCTGTGCTGCCTTCCACAGCTGACCCGACTTCGGAAAGCAAGGAAGATCAGTGGATGGGGGTCACTGTTCAGAGCCAAGGTCCAGGGGGCAAAGTTGTGGTGAGTGTAGAGAAACGTGTTCATTCCACAATGTTGAAGTGCCTTTTACCATATGTGCCAGCACCAGGCTAACAGCAGTGCACCAGACAGACAGCCCCCCTGCCTGTGTGGAGGATACATTCTAGCAAACTTACTTCTTTAAAGCATTCTTCTGATGTCAAGAAGAAATCAAAGCATTATTTTTCTTGTAATTCATGATATACTTTGAAATAATCATACAACTTGTTTTTTGTTAGAATTCTCAGATTCAAAGAACTTATTAATAAATCTTTATTGAATATTCCTAAAACTCTAGATGGTCTTAAAATGAAAAAGCAAACAAAACAAAACAAGAAACTAGACATGGTTTTCATCCTGGGAACTTTGTAGCTTTTACAGATTAGTTATAGTAATATCAGGTAATTTAAAACTTTCTTATGCTGCGCTTCTTCAAATAGATGTGAGTAAAGAAAAGAGGATTTGTTAGATGGATTGTAGTGCCTTTCAGGTTGTAATATAATGATCTTTTTGCCTCTTTCAAAATCCATTTGCTATAACAGAATTTATGCAGAATTTTGAGAGAAGCGAAAATTTTAGTGAACATTGACTTTTGATATTTATGGGAAATTAACTTGGATATTATAAAGTATTTTCAGTCTGTGTTATGTGTAGGGTAGCCATGAATACCTGTAGAAATTATAAAGATTATTTCATCTCTTCTGGCACAGAGATGTGTAATTCTCTCTGCCTTTTGAAAATAGTCATATTCAGAGACATACTCTCAGATCTCCTGGTGTAAGTTAGGACTGATTACAAGGCAACAGTATAGGCAAAAAGGAAAGTGTCTTTGTTTTAGCTGTGTTTGCTTGTGTTGTGCTTTTTTTCCTATGAAAATATGTCCATGATTTCTCTCCTCCAGAGCGTAATCACTTATTTTCACACTAATGTGAAGGTTTTATACAGCCACTAAACGCCAATTAAGAAAATGAAGTAAGGGCCAAGCCTGTGGCGCACTCGGGAGAGTGCAGCGCTGGGAGCACAGCAGCACTCCTGCCGCGGGTTCGGATCCTATATAGGGATGACCGGTGCGCTCATGGCGCTCACTGGCTGAGCGCGGTGCGGCCTGTCTCAAAAAGGACAAAAAAAGAAAAAAAAAAAAGAAAATGAAGTAAGAAGTTGTTTCCCTTTATTTATGTGACAGGTAAATTTACAGATAAATTGCCTGTGGATACAAATTGGCATTCAGTGTTTGGACTGGAACATTATTCTCTGACTGAGAGTAAGACAGAAGTCCTAGTTTCTGTATACTTTACTGCCACTTTGGGGAAGATTTGCTGGTTTGGGATTTAGTCCCAGGATGAGGACATATTTAATCATACTATTTAAAATTCATCTCTTTATTGACAATTCTATCAATTTGTAATTTTTAAAAAATAAGGTTTATAGACATGAACGGGCTACTTTATTCCATCCATTTGCAGATATGTGCTCATCGATATGAAAAAAGGCAACATGTTAATACAAAGCAGGAATCCCGGGACATCCTTGGGAGGTGTTATGTCCTGAGTCAGCATCTCACAATTGAGGACGAAATGGATGGAGGAGACTGGAGCTTTTGTGATGGCCGGTTGAGAGGCCATGAAAAATTTGGTTCTTGCCAGCAAGGTGTAGCAGCCACTTTTACTAAGGACTTTCATTACATTGTGTTTGGAGCCCCGGGTACTTATAACTGGAAAGGTATGACACCTGTGTTGCTAGAAGTAGAGATTAGAATGTTTACATAATATAACATGCACCAGGATTTAGTACATTTTAAGTTAAAACAAAATGTGTTATAAGGCATTTGAATATTATAAAAGCAGGGTAGGATATTAAACCTTCTAAATGATGTGATTTTTCAGAACAAATAATGGAAATATGTTAGAGATTCTTTGTCCCTTTATTAGTGCATTGTATTAATACAAATAGTTAACTTTTTTCTGTAGGAATATAAACATTAATCGTTTGTGCTATATTATAATTTTCTATTTCATGAAATTAGAAATTTTCATTTTAAGTTAGTGATCTGAAAACTGAGAAGGATTGAGAGATGTTGTGTATAAATAACAGTGTATTACTATGGACGTTTCTTTCATTATACATTATCTTTGAAGTCCATATTTACTAATAAAATAGTAAAGTTAGGAGGGCAGATAACAGATAGATTGGGGAATTTTGAGATTATAATTTCAAATAACATGAGGAAAGGTTGTTTTATGGTGTTTAGCTGTTATTGTGATGGGTAGGTGAAAGGAGTCACTGGGAGGGAGGGAGGATGAACCTGGTCAGATTCTGTTACACCACTTAACTTCTCTGAAAAAATTAACCAAGTATAGAACACTCTGTATCATAAAAGACAAGTAACCTAACTGTAATCCGCAGTGAAGAGAAATGTGTCTGATTTGGAAATGAGTTTGTTTTTGAGAAACATATTAAATCATATAACACTTTCACTAGTCAGGGGAAACTAGGAATATGTTTCCTTTTCCATTCAAAAATTCCTAAGTTTTGATTCCTATTAGAAATGACTCTTGCTCTTCTGGGGACAGCATCTAAAGGCACTCATGGTGGCCCAGCATCTGACATACTGTTGCAGGCTTTCCTACAGTATGGCTTCTAACAAAACTAGGCTGTCCGAACCCCTGGTAACAGAAACGGTTACCTTAATACCAAGATGGTTGGGAAAGCACCAAAATCTGCATGCGGCATGTACCCAGGCAGCCTTCATGGGGTTGTGCTGTGAGACCAAAGCTTTTATGAGGTTGACTGAAATGAAGAAACATGGCAGCAGGGCCTGTCGTGTCTCTATGTGTGCTAAATGTGTCCGTGACAGGAACAAGTGCGCTTTGCTTATCAGGGAGCAGAAAATTGTGGTGAAAGTGGAGAAGGAACTTTCACAGAAAGCTAAATTAAAAATGAAGCTTTTTTGAGTACTAAAAAAAAAATCAAATGGCTACAAAAAAAAGATTCTTAAAAACACCTTCCTCTGTATGTTAACCATAGTAACCTTAGGAAGTAATTTCCCTTTGCCCCCCACTCCCACCCCTAACAGTCTTTCATATAACAGTGTCTGTGAGGTTATTTTGGCCTAACTGCAATAACATGTTGAGCTTAGAAATGGTTTTATTTTAGTAAGAATAGATGCCACATATAGGAAAACAATACCAAAAAAACACCCACCAATTATGTATATTTTAATTCATGAGAAATACGTCTTATTGGCTTTGTAAACCCTGACCTAAATGTGTTTTAAAAAGCATGTGGTGATTTGGGCTTACTATTTGAAATCTTATATCTTTTTAGTTATTAATTGTAGAATTAATTGTAATTATATGAAATCTTTTTTTAATTATTAATTGTAGAATTAAGAATTTTAAAAAGTTGAAATTTTGGTTAAAGTGATTTAAAGCAAAGACCAATATATTAATTTCACTTTTACACTGCAGGAAAAAAGACAAATTGATTTAGTATTACAGAGAACATAAAATATCATATCAAGTTCATGTCATTTAAAAAATTTGTATAGATTTTGTTAACTAAGTAAACATTCCATTTTCCATCTGGTTTCATGGCATTTTAAAGATCATGAAAATGCACGGGCATTTTAAAAATTACTAGAACATATTTCTTTCACATAAAAATTTACATGTACATGGTTAACAGCCTTAAAGGTCATCTCTTTCCTCTGTCTTTCCTTCCTCTAAACTTTTCTTCCTGTACTCAGTGATACCATGGGAGATGTTTATTAGGAACCATTTATTTTATTTTGTTTCATCTTCATTTCTTTTTGTTGTTGTTTTTGCCATTCCATTCCTTTAGGGATTGTTCGCGTAGAGCAAAAGAATAACAGTTTTTTTGACATGAACATCTTTGAAGATGGGCCGTATGAAGTTGGTGGAGAGACTGAGCATGATGAAAGTCTAGTTCCTGTTCCTGCTAACAGTTATTTAGGTAGGAACGAGCGTAGGTGGCATGCCTACCTTTGCAGATGCTTTGTGTGTTATGCCCTCTCAGGGTCTGCAGGCCCCTGGACTTCTAGGCCAGGTAGAGCGGGGCCTGTGGCTACACTTGACTGAACTTGATAAGCCTTGGGGATGGGAGGTGACCTGACTGATGCCTGGGATCCTCCCTTTCTGACCTGAGCTCCCTCAAAGGGTGAAGAAACCTATTATCACCTAAAATCATTCATGCTCCCTCCTGCTGGGAATTCTGTCTCCTGAGCTCATGGCAGCCTCTGTAACCTGAAACAGGCCGTTCATGCAGCCATGAAGAAAGCATGGGTGTTCACAGTAAGCTGAACTGCCTTCTCTAACCATTCAGTTATACTAGAGATACTGTTAAGAGCTACATTTATAAAGTTACTCTGAAGTGGCAGGTCAAGACCTCCAGGTCCTTCCTCTGTGATTGCCATTCTCCAAGAGCTGGCCCTGCCTCTGAATTGGGTCCCCCATGTCACAGGGCCCCTGCTGGTGGCACAGGGGCTTCTGGCTGAGGCTGAGCAGCACTGATAAAGCAGCTTCCGAGGACACCCAGATTGTGTGTAAGTGCCAATTCTTCAGCTCCTAAGGCTTGTTTGCATTACTAATGGGAATCCTAAATTATTCGTGTGCATTATGGTAATTACACAAAGGCTTTTAAAAGCTTTAATTCTTAGTATGAGTTGACATAAAGAATAATTCCTGTGCATTTCTTGGAAAAAATGTAGAAAATCTTCTAAACCTAAATAGTAACCTATTTTTAAAACATTGATTAGAAAAGTACCCATATGCTGGAGATATTACTGGAACAATGGAAGGTATAAAAAGGAAAAATCAGGTCTAGATATATTAGTAAGCAATTTGCTAGTAAACATACACTAAGAAGTTATTCTAATTGTGTAAATATGTGTGAACAATACTGTTAATTAAAAAAAAAACTTTTCAATACATACACCCCCCCAAATAAAAACTTGATGTGAAGGTATAGAAGAGGGAAGAAAAAAATTATGCTCATTACTTATTTGTTAAGCACCTATTGTGTGCTGTAAGTCAGTATGTTCAATGCTTTACTTGTCTACAGTACTATAAGTATTATTATCCCTCTTTTTCTGATGAGTAAAACTGTGACTCGGGGAGATTTATTTCCTAGCCCAAGGTCACACAACTGATAGTCCCCTAGCCAAGGAAAGAAATACAACTCATGAAAATAACTAAGGTGAGGACAGCTGGATGTGTAAATGGTATGTTAGTGGCCTTGCAGGACAGGAAGGGAGCTCAGGGAAGAATGGTTTGCAGTCTCAAGTATTAAATGTGGGCTTTCAAGGTAAATATTATCAACAAGCCAATATTGTATTTGAATATATGTTAATAGACCACCTCTCTCTTTAAGTGCATTACTTAGGGATTATTTGTGATGGGAAGTATTTAATTTTAATTGTTCTGGTTAAGAAACCAACACTACAGTCTTTAAGATAGCTGCCCATGGATTTTATACACATAGTTGCTATTAGGACATATGAAAATATGAAGCATTTTTTTCTTAAACACATTTACCACTTTTAGAATTGATTTCTTTGAAAGTGGATGCCTGAGAAAGATATCAAGTTCATATTGTCACATTTTGCTTGTCCATGCTGTGTGTGATTCTGTCATTTCAAAAGATCAGTGGGTTTGGGGAGTGGAATGATCTGTCTGAGGTTCTGGAAGATGGCAGAGAGAGCAGCTTGCAGGCGCTGGGACGCCCATCATCTCGTGTCATCCTGTGAGAGTGGCAGCGGCCGGCCTGCCTCTTACCAGGCATAATGATTTTTTCTTCAATTTCTTCCATCCCGTGCATGTGTACAGGCCTGCTGTTTTTGACCAGCGTTTCCTATACAGATCCTGATCAGTTTGTTTATAAAACACGGCCTCCCAGGGAACGGCCTGACATATCCCCTGATGTGATGATGAATAGCTACCTAGGTTTGTGACCTCTGAGGTGACAAATACATTGTCTTGGTCATGGTCATTAAGATTTTTTTTTGATCCATACAGAGCATAAATCTTTTTATGTTCTATTTCATTTCAAGTAAAGCACACACACAAAGCATGCCGTGGTTGAGGCTCTGCTGCCAGATGATTTTCAGAGCTGGGTTCAATGATGTCGCCCTGTTCTAAACTTGTTTCTCATCGTATTTTTCAACTCCCTTCACAATTTGAGAACTGCAGCAGTAGTGGTGAAGCTTTTCATAAATGAAACCCAATAAAAAGGGTGAGCTTATATTATTCTGCATCTGCCTCACATTTATGAAGAGAATTTTTCTTAATTTAAGTGGTTTTGGTATGGACATTGATATTTGCTTTCCACCAAATTTCAGTCTTTGTGATCTGACATACTGCCAGATACTTTATAATTGGGTGTTTTAACGTTTTATGCCCTCTGAGCAAGTATGTAATGGGTATCAGTGACAACTTACTCACCTCTATTGTTTATGCTAGGTTCTCAAATACTATATATCATCAGTCATGATTTTGTTTGCATGTTTGTGTCTGAGAACTAAGTTGGTCCAAAATAATGAAATGCTATCTATGGTATGTTAATGATGTTAACATTTGTTCTTGCCTGATTACCAAGGAGATTGGTAAATATGGAAGTTATTCATGTAAAAATGCTGGTCATAATATTACAGCAGAACCCTATAACGTGCACTCAATTATGCTACAAATCAGGTTGTATTCTCTATGTTTATGATGTTAACATTCACATGATAATTCAGCAAATAGCTTGATCTACTTTTATCACAGTTCCAATATTAAGATAGGGTTTGAATTGATTCTTAAGATGCATGAATACTTCATAATTCAATTTATACAAACGTTAAGTAGCATAGATGCTTTCCTTTAAGTCTTAATATCCATAGAAAGCAGTGAAATAGCTCTAGTACTTTGTCCTTGTGTCAGATCTCTTAGCTCTGTTACTCATATTGTAATTAGGATAGCTAGAGGGGTCAGGAGAAGAGGGGTCGAAAGCCAGAGGAAGGTAATGATGGAGTTACTAAGATCACTTATCACCTGAAATAAAGGATTGATGTGAGAGGCTATATTTTTTTTTCTAGGCTTTTCTTTGGACTCGGGGAAAGGTATTGTTTCTAAAGATGAGATCACTTTTGTATCTGGTGCTCCAAGAGCCAATCACAGTGGAGCTGTGGTTTTGCTAAAAAGAGATGTGAAGTCTGCACATCTTCTCCCTGAGCACATATTTGATGGTGAAGGTCTGGCTTCTTCATTTGGCTATGATGTGGCAGTGGTGGACCTCAACAAAGATGGGTAAGAATGTTAGGTTATTTTGTACTGCAAATCATTGCTTATTTGACTGGCTTCTGTATGTCTTAAGAAGAGCCTATCCTTTCAGGTTAGTTGATTCAAAGAATAATTTTGCTGCCAGATTTTTACCATCCCAACCCGTCTTCATCATTTGTATGATGGCAGCAGACATTCATTACCCTCCCCAGGGTGTAGGATTACATTTTCGATTTTCAGTTTTTTACTTGTCTTGGGATCATCAGGTCCATGAGAATTAAACATTTTAAAAAATTAACTAAAAATAATGACAACTACATGATTCTGTTCTGTGTTTTTTTTTTAAGGGGCTGTTGGAGCATCCAGAATGTCCTGTTGAAAGTAGGGCTAGGTCATGTTGATTGGTGCCAGTTGGGGTGGGGAAGAGCAAATTAATGGGGTCTTTACTGGGAGTCCTACCACATTTTGGTTCTAACTTGAGTAACTGGCCTTGAGTTCTTATCCCTTACTGTTTTTCCTGGAGCATTTATTAAGGTTTTTTTTTTTTTTTTTTTTTTTTAATGTTTTAATTGACAAGACATAAATTTCAGTTTTAAAGTCCTTTGTATCATATCTTTGTGTCCTTAATACCTAGGCTGATGGTATTCTCCCTAAGCTTGCTGGTATTTTAGCCAATGATTCATAGTTCTTCCCCCTCATTATGTTTTTAGGTGGCAAGATATAGTTATTGGAGCCCCACAGTATTTCGATAGAGATGGAGAAGTTGGAGGTGCAGTGTATGTCTACATTAACCAGCAAGGCAGATGGAATAATGTCAAGCCAATCCGTCTTAATGGAACCAAAGATTCTATGTTTGGCATTGCAGTCAAAAATATTGGAGATATTAATCAAGATGGCTACCCAGGTGAATAATAGATTGTAAAACTGTTATGCTTTATAGATAGTTGTTTAAATAGTAAGTGCTTATGGCATCTTATTTTAAAACATTGTATTGGAATGTTTTAAAAATGTAATGTTTGTTAAAATGTGGTGTTGTCAACAGATATTGCAGTTGGAGCTCCCTATGATGATATGGGAAAGGTTTTTATCTATCATGGATCTGCAAATGGAATAAATACCAAACCAACACAGGTAACCAAATAACTTGGATTTCCGCAACTGGAGCTCAGCTTTTTGCCTTTTAATAGAATATTTAGGTTTAAGTGAATTTTCATACTAACCTTGTTTTATTTACCAATGTACAATAGCATTAATTTTTTTTAAGGTGCTCCTAGAAGATAGCTTTGAAATAGATCTATAAATGCAATGACCTTCTTATTTTAATTGTAAAATTTCCTAGATAAGTTAGGAATCAAAGTAATCCAAAGCAAAAGACTGTTCAAAGAGATGGAAATGTGATATATTTCCTTTAGTGGCATATCAAATAGAGGTGAAATTAGGCAGACAAATAGATGATTGTGATTACAAGGAGAATTCAGACACCAAAAATTAAAAATTGCTTTTGAGAAAAGTCAGACTTTTGGAGGGCAAGTAGGGGGAGGTTTGGTTTGAAATACCCTGGTTGACTTAATGTAGTAAACAAACTCATCAAAAATTGGCTCTCTCGGGCCGGCCTGGTGGCACACTGCTACAGGCGCACTGCTACAGTGCGCCACTTGGGAGCGCGGCGGCGCTCCCGCCGAGGGTTCGGATCCCACATACAG